GCTCATGCTGGTGCAGCAAGACATGTAAGGAGATGGCCTCGTCACAATCCAGCAGTCATATATCGACAATCTCAAGCTATGACAACTTGTTACATGTGTCTGTAATAAAAAAAGGACTTTGCGATGGTGTGGGGAGCTCTTTGAGTGGTGGGATTGTGGAAATCCAGTTTGTTTCGCCCGTAACAAGTTTGTTACGGGCGAAACAACGTCCCTCTGAAACGTTTGGATATGCCTTTGCAACACATTTCCTCAATTTCATGAACTGCAAGTATTTTAATCCAACATCACCCCAATCTCAGTGTAAACTAGTCTCCAAATGTGCCTGCACAAGACTGTCACCCCTGTCACCCGGCATTCACATTGCCTTAACCTCCTCAAGCTTGTCGGGGTGTGACACGTGGGCATGAACCTTGTGACAATGGGCATTGTCACAAAGAAACTGGTTGCAATCAGAAATGCATTTTTGCTCATGCCAGGTTACCGACATCGGTTACCGATTACTGGGGACGGTTAACGGATAACGGTTCGCCCGGTAATCCTACCGACCGGTTACCCATCTCGTTAACTGGACCCGTTAGGTCGGAACCGGGCCGGAACCGGCCTGGAGTATGCCATTGGGAGGTTATCATCATCAAGGTGGTCGGGGCCAGCAGGGCCTTCGCAGGCGGTTTAATCAGCCTAATCATCCACATTTGGTCGATCCGTTCGACCAGGAGCCGGAACCTGTCGACATAGGCCTGTTGGCGAGAGGCGTGCGTTTCGACTTAGAGCCTCGCCCAGCAATTTTCCGCATACGCTACCTAGTAGTAGTGCAGCTGGACCCCGAGCTCGAACAGCTACCGCGGCCTACGAGCTTTGTCACAGCCAGCTCCCAGGGAGCGAATATTCGACTGCCGTTATTTGAATACGCGGACCTGTGCGCGTCTCCACGCAACGACATGATGGAATAATCACTGTAACCTCATCGAGTTGATTTTCTGTCTTTTTGCTGACGCGGTTTCCACAGAGCAGTCGTTCAATCATTACGCTGCACCACGTACTCATCACTTTCCAGGATTACTATTATTACGGTGCTACAGTCATGTGACGCGACAAGATAACCACCGACAGTTAGGATTCGGCGCCCAACATGTAGCTGCCACTGGCCTGGCAGGCAGGGCCATTACGCTGAACGTTTAAAATAAATGCACTGCTGGAGGTTGCCGTTCAGATAAAGATGGCTCTGCCGTCGATTACTCACTTGATTAGGTTCCCACATATGGGGGATATGGCGCTCTCCGTATCCCGCATTCTTTCTCATGAATAGAGTCTCATCGCTCGGGAAACAAATTGGGAAATGGATCCGGAGCCAAGCCTGGCACATTGACATGGAGGTAGCTAGCAAGGACCGGGGCAGGCCGGGACAAGGTAATGAGACAACTAGGTAATCAAACAACTAGGTAATGAGACAACTAAAAACTCCAATAATAGTGCAAAAAAATCTGCCCGATAAGCTGGAACAAAGGACAATGTAATGATAGCAAGAAAAAGCAATGAGCAAAGTAGTAAACAGAAGATTCTTACCAAAAATTATTGTACAGCTCTGCGCAAATTGCCCCAGGACTGAAAGTAACAAGGGACGACTAAAACATGGCAAGCACAATTCTCCTATCCGTCAGCTCCCTCTATTCGTGACGATCCTAGCGACAAATCTCTTCTAGATGCAATTTGCAAATTGTACACGCCTTTCCCTATGATGTGTGAAACAGGGGGGTATATTTTCGCCCGTGGCAGCTACCCTGCGAAACCCTGCCTTCCCCGGTATTTCGGGGATCCTCATCCAGTCACATTAGTCAACTTCTCAGTGGATCGCTCAGGTTCCGCACCCACCACCAGCATCCAACGGAATCTGCCCGGTCGACAGCGGCCCAACTCCATCGATCCCGAGATCTCCCGTGGGCAATGGTCGCGCGTTACCAGTAGTGCCAAACCCTAGTACCATCCCTACCAACTCATAGGGGGTCTAACAGCGTCTAACTTCTTAGGCGGGGCTGTCAGCCGGGCTCATTATCAGCTGCTGACGATAGTTGTCAACGTGGCATAACAGCCAGTTAGACACTGGGTTAGAGGCTGTCTTGTCCTGTTTGGCCCTGTGACTGACATATACCTGGAGCCCACACTGTTAACAGTTGTCTGATTCTAGGGACTGTTAGCAGCTGTAAGGACCTGTAACAGAGCGCTTTCTGCCACAACAGGATATTGTTGACAGGATGTTACATTCTGGTTGGGTCACCCAGATGCTGAGAAAGATTTTTTGACGGCTGTTAGTGTTTTGGGAAGCTAATTGTTAGCATTTGTTCAATTCACTTAAGCTGTTAAGCGTTGCCAAGGGCTGTAGTTGCTGACAGGCCTTGAAAGCTGTTACGAGCAGGGACGTGCTAAAAGGAAGTTCCATCATGTTACTGGCTGTTGCCATTAGATAATTTGCTGAACTGCTGTTTAAGGATTTTAATTGCTGTTTTGAGGTTCAGACGCTGTAAATGTTATGAGCTTTTACATGATCCCTGTCCACTGTTAAATCACACATTCTCTTTTTTTTGGAAAGCTGTCTGACTTCATTATTCATGCCATGAGCATCTATTTGCCATCATTGGTGATAGAAGCTTGTACTGCATGGGTAGGCACAAAATCACATTTGTCAGGAATTATATACATATGTATGTATTACACACAACAGTCTGGGTCGCCCTGGTCATCTCACTTGCTCATCATGTGGAGTTGTGCAGTATAGTGCACAGCCAGCTGGCCTGTACAGGCATCTATTGTCTCTATTCTTTACAAGTCTGGAGGCTGCTACCAAAATCATCACAGCAACAGCAGTACCTTGTCTTGGCATGCAATTATACACACATGTTCTTCATCAACCTTCACCTGTGACCTGTTCCACACTACTACTGCACTGCTTCCTTTTTTCCTAGTGAACACCTACTACACACCACTGAACCACATAGCCCTAGACTGCAGCTGCCCACTTGCTCTGTATCCCTGCTCATATAGGAACCTCTCTAAGCAACCAACGCCAGCTTGCCCTTGTACTGGACCATGGAGTCATTCCATAGAACATTTGTGCAGCCATGGGAGAAAGCCCACTCCTTGACCTGCTGCTTGTTGAATCTGCCAAGTAGGCTCTGCACTGGAAGCTCTACAACCGTGTGCTTCTTTAGCTCCTTGCCAACCTTAATGGTACCACTGGGCAATACCATGGAGGTCTTCTTGCTGTTGTTCGCCCTGTGCAGAATGAAAACGGACACCTGCAGATGACAACATGGGCATTCTTGCGAAGAAACATCAAGCCTTACAAGACTTACAAAGACCACATCGCCAGCTAAGAGCACAGGACTGTCCTTGCCCTCGACAATGAAGACTAACTTGTCATCTTCATTGTTTAGAGGCCCTAAGCTCTTCTGCAAGTATTCCAGGTGCGACTGTGAAGACTGGTACTTCTCAAACTCCTCTACGTCAGCTCCAAAGGAGTTGGATCTCAAAGCATCTGCTGGCAAGGCATGCATATATGTAATGGTTAGTAAGGTCTTCAGCTGCAGGTATGATGTATGCAGGCATGTATCTTTCATGGTATGCATATTTGAGGTTTCAATACAAGCAAGTTGAAAACCCAATAACCCCAAACTATAACTAAGTCTCTCCTCTTCCCAATGGCATACTCCAGGCCGGTTCCGGCCCGGTTCCGACCTAACGGGTCCAGTTAACGAGATGGGTAACCGGTCGGTAGGATTACCGGGCGAACCGTTATCCGTTAACCTGGCATGAGGAAAAATGCATTTCTGATTGCAACCAGTTTCTTTGTGACAATGCCCATTGTCACAAGGTTCATGCCCACGTGTCACACCCCGACAAGCTTGAGGAGGTTAAGGCAATGTGAATGCCGGGTGACAGGGGTGACAGTCTTGTGCAGGCACATTTGGAGACTAGTTTACACTGAGATTGGGGCGATGTTGGATCAGAATACTTGCAGTTCATGAAATTGAGGAAATGTGTTGCATAGGCATATCCAAACGTTTCAGAGGGACGTTGTTTCGCCGGTAACAAACTTGTTACGGGCGAAACAAACTGGATTTCCACAGTCCCACCACTCAAAGAGCTCCCCACACCATCGCAAAGTCACTTTTTTATTACAGACACATGTGTTGGAAATGACCGACACTCATATACCAGTGAATGGTAGCCACAGTAATAGGACCCAACGGGGGTCCGGCGCTTTGCTGGTCTTAACAGGTTATGAGCCCCGAATGGCGCACTGCGCTGCCGAGAGGTCGCCGGATCGATACCCACTGGCTGTTGCCCAGAGAATGGGAGACCGGGATGAGGCACGGGAAGGCCCGGAGCGAGAGAGTGTCGCTCACGGGGGGGTGTTGGAAATGACCGACACTCATATACCAGTGAATGGTAGCCACAGTAATAGGACCCAACGGGGGTCCGGCGCTTTGCTGGTCTTAACAACATGTAACAAGTTGTCATAGCTTGAGATTGTCGATATATGACTGCTGGATTGTGACCAGGCCATCTCCTTACATGTCTTGCTGCACCAGCATGAGCAGTGATCCCTTCTGTTCAAAATTTTCAGGCAACATCGCAATGAGGCAAAACATTGTGCCGAATCTGCCGTACAAAGAGTGTTCATAGCTTCACGCTACTAACGGACGAATACATAAGCATTCATTTACCTTGAAAGAATAAAGGAATTCTATAGATTCATACAAATTCGCCTATCAGCAACTCTCCCTGGTCGTTCAAAAGTTGCTTGAAGATTCTACCATCTCCATACTATGAAGGAGCGCTTCTTCATTTCTTCATTTTATCTGAACCTTAACGTATCCTTCCAACACAATGTCCATGGACAACGGTAATGAGGTCGGCGCCTACGAGTTTGACCGGAACGCCCTGGACAACATCGCCCGTCGGCGACAAGATCGTCCACGCAAGAAATACAGCCAGCATCGTCCAGTGGATGAGTTTGGAGTACATAAGTTTGCCAGGGCAAACAATCTAAGTCAATTTACCGCGTGCCAATTGGAGGATGCCTTGTCCAAGGAAAGGTGCCATATGGACGACCTTGTGTTAGTTTAGTTGTTGCATGTAAGCTTGTGAGTTGGTGGCTTGGTTCATGCTTATGGGCGACAATTGAAATGCCGGGACAATGACTTATTAGGGACAATGACACGGCATTTCACGCCCTCAAAGCGGGAACAAACGCTAAAACTAAATACATACATAGTTCTAAATCTTCTACTAAAATTTTCCTGCAGCGTTAGAGGCCTTTAATTAATATTGGCGAACGCTGCTTCCCGCGCTACCGGGATACTCCCTATGGCATAAACATGCCGGTTACCGACCGNNTGGGGCCC